GGCGACAGATGTTGCAAAACCAAGAAAGGAAGTCAAGATAATCCTGTACAAAAGTAACTAAATGCTTTCTTCTTACTGTGTTTTCTTTACTACTAACCAAGGTATCCTTAATTTATACTGTTAATTTATATTATTTTAACGAAGTTTGTTTATGTTTGTGAGCCGCCCCGAGGCTTCGGTGAATGGGGCGGCATAGAAGTTTCCTAAATAAATAAATAAAAATAAATAAATCCTGCCTTTATTTAGAAATGCATGTTGATATAATAATTTGTATCACTGCCACGTTAAACATATATATGGGGTATGTTGGATGAATGAAAGAGCTGGTCCCCACAGGATGGTTAACTCTTATTGCTGGAGCGCACCTACATTAAAAGGTTTTTTTATTACTTTTGCTGGTGTTGCCTGTCTCTTGGGCAGAGGTTGGTTCACAAACAAAGAAATATTGGTTTCCCCAATAGTGGCATACCATAATTGATTATATACCAGGTAAAAATGAGCTGAATAATACAGTCAAACAAGTTCCCTAAATTCAAGAGTTAGTGTGTATGCAATGGAATACTATAAAGACATGAAGGAGCTAAGTTGCCTTCATTTGTTCTCCTGGTCTTTGCAGAGGAGTACTAAGTAATTTTATCCTGAAGGTTTACTTTAAAATCTATATTTTTAGGAGAGCCAGGGTGTCATAATGGTGAAGAGTGCTGGACTGGAACTTGGGAGATCCAGGTTCTAGTCCCCGCTCAGCCATAAAATTCAATGCGTGACTTTGGGGCATTCACAAATTCTTAGCCTAACCTACCTTGCAGGGTTGCTGTGGGGATAAAACGGAGAATCAGTGAACCTTGTAAGCCGCCTTGGGTTCCTTGCAAGAGGAAGAAAGGTGGGATAGGAATGCAGTGTTGTCATAATAATCGTAACAATCATATAATACATTGCATCACAACCACAAGAAAATAAAGTGCAAAACTGTGTTGGGTTTCCATTTAAAATGTGCAGTTTAAAAATAAGTCTTCATAAGACCAGTTGAATAGCTGTGGAATGCCGGCATGGAGAAGGGATGTGTGCAAATGGACGGAGAGGGACAATATGCTATCATAAATAAAACAAAACAGAATTCCCCTGTCATTTTTATTGATTGCGTTTATAAGCACCACAGGCACTACACCGTAGAGTCTTGTAGCCATTTGGATAAACTTGGCTCCGTCGTTTGCCTTTTTGCTTCCATGTAGTGAACCTGCAGGCAGAAAATGAGGGTTCTCGCACAGCAGCCGTTCCTGCTGGACTGAGCGGGAGGCAGGCCGCAAGATCAAAAAGTCCGGATACAGTCTTGCCATCAAGCACATCCAAGCCCTGAGCGACACAGGCACTAATAACTAACTGTAGAGTTCTGGCTGCACACCTCCCGAGAGACAAAATCCCGTGCAGCCGGGCCGTGTGTTCCTCTCATAAGCATGTGTCTGAGGATAACGACTGTAGGGAGAACTTAATGGGATGCACCTCTCCGGATTCCCCTGAGTGTCTTCTGCCCAGGGAGTGAGTCCTGCTGATTTAACTGCAGGTGCAGGATGCCACTTCCGTGCCACAGAGAAACGGACTCAAGGGAGTCACTGCAGGGGTAAGCACCTGCCGGATCCCACCTGGTGGGTCTGCCCCACCCACTTTCCTTCTGCGAGGATGACAAGACCCACGTGACCCCATCTTGCAGTATTTTAAATACATTGCAGCTGGGTGGGATAACATCGCAAGGAGACACGCCCACGTAGCTGAGTGTCTGTCTGCGAAGGATTGGAGATCTGCTCAGGAGAAGGTGCACCTTTCCTTTTGGCACAAAAGTCTGCTCTTTTTTAACATCATTCCTTTAGCTTACAGAAATTTGCCTGTATAGTACAGCCCAAGTAATACGCATGCATTAGATCTTGCATTTCTCTCTTTATTAGGCAGCTGGTGAAGACATTGTTAGATGCGGGAGAGAACTTTTCTGGCTTAGATGTGCTGTAAATATATATATATATATATGGATTCACTAGAGACGCAGAGGAGGTGGAAGAATACCACTTTGACGTACTGCTGAGTATGTCAAAATATTCCCAGAGGATGAGAACTCGAAGACTCTGTGTTGCAGGGCAACACCTGTTGGGAAAACTCTAGTGGCAGGCTGTTTACTAAGAAGGTTAGGCAGAGGGAGTTTAGGGAAATTGTCAGACTAGATGAAATCTTTTAAATTCTGCTTGTCCGCATGAAACATACTGGCAGGGGCAGGAGTGTTGGTCCCCAAGTTTACAACACAGTGACAATCTGAGTGCTTTACCTTTCTTTAGGTTAGATCAGGGCTTGGACTCTGTGGAGACTTTCCTGGGTTGTTTGACCACCAAGTCACTGAGATTAAAAGTGGTATTTTGTCCAGCTAGCATTCTTTCTGACAACTCAGAAAGGTCTGCGGAGGGTTTTTCCCCAGGTTCTTGAAAGGAATACTTATAAATTAAAAAAGAACAATACAAAATAGATACGGCCCACTGAATTGTGAGCTAGCATGGTGAAAGATGAACAGTCTCTTCCATGCCTCTGACTGGAAAGAAGAGATGGGAGGTAGAATAGCGCTGATAAAGTTTTGTCTGTCAGTGTCACTATTTATCAATAGAAAAATGTGGCCAGTATCCAGTGATGGGGCTTTAATACAATAATAGAGTGCAGCCTTCAGCAAACTCCAAAAGAAAAGAAAAGAAAAGAATATCATTATGAAACTCTGTGCTTATAACAGCCATGACACCATGCAAGTACACACAAATGTTGTTGTCCTGAGCCTAAATTAGGCCAAACAAATGGGCAAGTTCTGTACGAAACAAGGAACAGAGCAGGTTTGAAATGGGCAGCAGATATTCCTGATTGAAATCTGTAGATCTAGCTTTCTTTCAAAAGGTCTGCCTGAATTTTTTCTAATGGCCCTAAGATCTTCCCAAGAAGAGGCAAGTGAACATATTTACATTTTGGCTAGCTTTTTGGTGGCATAATGGAATTTGTAGGACTTTCGTTCATTAGGTTGTCCTGTTGTAGTTGGTACTTTTTTAAAACTGCTTTATTACCTTCAGTGGAGATTTAATTTGGAAAACCAGTTCATATTTTAAATAAATAAGAATGGAACACTAAAAATTGAATTGGAACTTCCTTCTTGCTAATAAAAATGGAATTAGGAAAGGTCATGTGCCTTCCTTAGCAACCGCGCATCCCTCCTGAGAAGAGGCTATAGGTTTAGGTTGGTAACCACAGGAGCTTTGCAAATAGCATGCATGACAAATTAATTGCAGTTGGAGATCTGCTGTGTTTAACTAGGGCTCTTCTACTCTTCCTTCTCATTCAATTCAACAGATTCCATTTCCTCAGCCATCTCCTCCACCCTCAAAAGGACAAAGTGATATAAAATGGGCTGGAACTGGTGGTGACGTGCATGGCATTCTCCCTTAAAGCACTTGGGTCCAGAATACTGTCACCTGCGGTACTTAATTTGGCCTGAGCCTGAAAAGCGTTTCGGTAAAAAAAAATGCCCTCGATTGTACTTCTGCCCCCACTAAGCATTCTGTAGGTGGAGAAAGAAAGCTCCAAGCTATACTCCAGGCTCCTAAGACAATAAGACCCTCCACATGGGTACATGAGTTAAAATGCGTTCTGCTTCCCCAGATTTCTGCATGGTAGCCATAATCTGCACCTCTCTGCGTGGCTTGAATGGCAACATAATCAATGTTTCAATAGCCACCGTTCCTTTATCCATAGCTGTTTTGGTATCATATGATAGTCATTTATTTTGTGTAGCAGTTGAAACTGCTCATCGAAATTGGAATTATGAAGGAACTTCTGGGTTAGTTATCTGGGGAAGAAAGCAGGGCATAAGGTAAGAAGATCTTCCCGAATCTTAGTTCACCTGCCTAAACTGTTGCATTGTCTACCAAACTTTTCTTTAAATCATGTTTCTTCTTACGGCATTGACTGATGCCATAACCAGTTAGCTGCAGCCAGTTAGCTTTCACCTAAGCAATACAGTTGTATGGTGCTCATTAACTGATGCTTTTCAGGGAGGTTCGCAACGTAAAGTACAATGAAAACAAAACAAATAGATACAAAATCATATGGTGAAGCAAAAGGAACAATCAGCAAATAAAAGCTCATAACTTGAAAGGCTAAAGGTTTTATCTGGCATGAGGAGGCACCCGTGGAAAATCTGTAGGGATTTTCTCTGGTCTCCATCCACCTCACTTCAGATGGTCTGGGTGGATGGAGGAGAACATCACTGGGCATTTGTTACTTTAAAGACAAGTTGCTATGGGAACAGCTTTCCATCAGGTACCCGGGTTGCAAGCCATCTAGAGCAGGGCTGGACAGACAGTAGATCTCCAGATGTTTTTGATTTCAGCCCTCACCAATCTTGACTTTTACCTAAGCTGACAGGGGCCTGTGGGAGCTGAGCAAAACATCTGGCGATCTACCTTCTGACCACCCCAGTTCAGAATGTTGATGATAATCACGAAAACCTTGAATGGTTCACTGATACAGTTCAGCAATCAGTGCATCTCTGTCATATGTTTGCACTTGGGTCATATGTTCGTAATGTCTGGTGCCAGGAGTAACTCTGTGGCTGTATTATTGACCAAATGTAGCTTCTAGGCGGCTTCCAAGCTAGCCCCTTGGGTTATCCTATTTGGGATGTGATCAGAGCGTGGGTTATCTGGGCATCTCTGTGTAGGAAAGACTGCAGCTGACATACCAGCTGCTAAAAGATACTCAACAGCACAAAAGCTGCAGATACGGTGCTGGATCTTGGAACACCCACAGAACCCTGACCGGGACTGCAGTCCCATCCAGAACGAGCTGAAGATGATCACCCCAGGCAGATGAGCTATCTTTTAGATTCTTTTTACTAGCCTTCATCCTGGCCATTGCTAACTCCTGTCCAGCACTGACACTGCCTCTCTTGAATTGGATATAAAGCCAAATCCGTCCAACAAATTCAGGTAAATGTTATAGAGGACAAGATAAGAGTTTTGCAAGATCCCATAGTGTAAGAGCTGCGGGTTAGAAGAGCAGTCCCACAGCTTCATCTTCCTGAATTTATTCTCCACCCAGCCCTCCTTCCAACTTGCAGCCCAGCAATCGTACCTAGAAGGTTGCTCCCATAATCATACCCACAACACTTAAGTGTTTATCAGCATGCTTTCGAGTGATTATTTATGTATTACGTTTCTGTACCACCCAATAGTGGAAGCCGTTTGGGTAGGTCAAAACAATTGCTTTCAGGTTATTCACACCCATGATTTCCATAACCTTTGCAGAACAAAACCCCACAACCCCTGGGGGCTGCGGGTGAGCGGCAGCTGCTTGTCAAATGCTTCCTGGAGCCCTCATAGCTGTGGCAAGATGGAAACAAGGGATTTCATGGCCTTTCCTAAATGGTAGTTTACAAAAGTTCTTTGTAAGCCTGCCATATGCAAATCCCTGCCAGACTGTGAGGAGAATTTCAATGTTCTCTGGCAGTCCCCAGGTTTCCTATTAGATGCCAATGTGTTGCAAAATTCTCCTCATCCTTTGAGGTAGGACACTGCAGTTGATGTTACGCCTTAATACATGGCCATCTCCAGTTATGTTGCCCCAAAGGGTCAGTGGATCCACCACGGAGACTCAGTTGGCACCTGCATGTAAGCCTACATTTTCAACAGCCATCTAAATACTTTGTTAGGGTAAAGAAATCTATAAACGGCCTTATTTCTTTCTATCAGAACAAGAGCTCTTAAAATAAAAAAATAAATAAAGCAACGAGCAAATGAGAGGAATTGAACTTTTCCTATGACAGCTTGAATCAAAGAAAACAGAGCTGTGACGCGTACAGACAGATGGCTTCAGCGGGTGGAGTTTGCTCTTAATGGGATGCAAATCAGAATTTGAAAAATATAAATAGCCTTCTTTTCCTGAAAAATCATTGTGTGATAAAATATTAGCTATGAGTAACAGAATTTAGGTTTTATATTCAATGCTAGATGGAATTGCTCCACATAGTACTTAAGAGACTGAATTGATAGAGTTGGAGATTTTAAGAACCATGAATTATCCCTTTCAGGCATAGCTCAACGTCATTCCACTTTCTCAGGACAATTTGTGAACAAACAAGGTCAGGGGGCATGGATTGAGGTAGTGGCAAAACGTTTCCTCATCTGTACAGCACTGCAGGTGTGTATTTATACCCCTCCAAAAATATCTATCCATAAAATATGTGTGCCTGGGGTGCAGTTGTCTTTATGCCCACAAGAAGTAGAAAGGGTCAGGTTCGAATAAGAAGACTTAAATGTCACGTGCTCACTTCAATGTTGAATGATTGAGAACATTATTTTCAGGGAGAAACTGAATCCTTACTGCAAAATAGTTTGCGAAATATCTGCAAACATCGTAACAGCAGATCACTAGAAAGTGGCATGAATGGAATGATGTAATAATGCAATTAAGGTCTCAGATGCTGCTGAAATTGCTATGTTGAGAGAAGGGCATAGTTAGGTACAGGATGCTGCCTTAAATTTAGAGCATAAATTCATCACAGTTCTTACTCTTTCTGATCTCCCTTGGACTCTTTCAGTGCAATCCTATGTATGTCTCCTGATTAATAAGTCATAGTAGGTTCCACAGAGCTTACTCCACGGATTTGGAGTGCAGGATTTCAGTCTCACAGAAATTTCTTGAATCGCTGCTACTCAGTATCATCAGGGTATGCTTTTAAGAATGTCAGTACTTCTAAAAGTCCCTTGGGCTTTCTCAGTACTTGTTAAAACAACTGGGGCCAGAAGTTTGGTTCCAAGTGAGCGGAAGGGCCCAATGCAGAACATGTGTGGTATAAGTTTAATTGGCAATCCTCAGTTGTGAGTATTGATACATGACCGCAAATATATACAACAGGAAAATGCCAGAATACCTCTTTGCTAAAAGCAGAGGGTTAAAAATTAATGTGATAAGAAGACCTTTAGCTATAATAAAAAATATTTTTTCCTTTAATGGTACCAAACATGGATAAGCTGCCCCTTCCCCATTATAGCCTTGCCAAATGTTTAGAGTGAGTCATTTCTTTGAAGTGTAAATGCACCTTAAGAGGGATGTTAAATATTTCAAGTAATTGGTATGAACATGAAATCTCTCATTAATGTCTCGTAGCCTTCTGCAAAATGCAGATAAGAAAACGAACAGGCTTGTGAAGGAGGGGAAAATGCTGAAACATTCTAGAAGGAACATGCTCTTGGCACCTCCCTCCCTTGACTCCCTTCCTTGTGTGGCATCTCTGTCTCTTGCAAAAAATACTGGTAACGTGGAAAATTAAAGCAAGCATGCACATGTTAATCTCCCTGCCACAAAAGCAGTGCGTAATGCTAACATGGCACATGAAATCCAACCAAGCAGACCTAAGCCATTCTTCTACCTGCTTCAAAGACCTTTTTGAATGGTGTACATTTTGAAATGCCTTTGTCTATGTCATCTGAACGATTTTGAAATGTATTTTAAAGAACACTAGTTGATGTCCATTTTGAAATTGATTTGACTGCCTTAAAACAAAATGACAACAGTAATTAACATCCTCTTTGATAGTTAATTAAGGGAAATTACACACTAAAAATACAAACATCAGAGCATGGAGCTAATTATTTAGGCTAGATTGTCATTTAAGCACAGTTCGTAACAAGGGCCATCACAAAGCTGCATGCAGCACCCGGGGGCTCCCAGGCATGTTAAGAGCTCTTTTGCCATTGATTCCTCGTGCGGTGACATGGAGTGGAAAAGGGTGTTAGTCTGCCAGTGTGTGATGCGGTGACATGGCAGTGCGCTGTTGGAAGCACATCAGTGCAGAACTGCATAAGGGGAGGGTTCTAAATGAACAACACAAATGGCTCTTGGCAACACGTTGGGCAGGTGGCAAAGGCAGGAGGGAAAAGGAAGGCTTGGCCCTGAGGTTGAAATAGGTAGATTTATTGCCAGGGACTCCAGAAGCTGGAGCCAAGCCTGCTGAACTGCCTTCTGAGTTGTAGATGCTTACGTCTCAGAGTCCAGGTCGCGTGGATCTTCTGAATTGGGCAGTTCCAGCCACAGAGAGGAGCAAACCTGGCTTGAAAAATCTCATCCAGGGTGTAGAGCCCACCTTGGCCCTCGCATTCAAAAGGTGAGGGTTGGCACACACAGTACGGGTAGATGCAAGAAACAGAATTATGCCTCCACCGTGCAGTCTATGTGGCAACTCGCTCAGGCAAATCTAGTTATTGGCTTACAGAGAGCGGCTTGTTTATTTATTCATTGTTTCGTACCATTTATGTTCCACCTTCCCTGTTAAGGTAATGGGAAAATTCCCAAGAGTTGTCAGGAAAATAATTGGGCCCTTCAGTCCCTTGGGCAGACCCTCCTAATTCAGGGTCACCATCATCCTACCCAGCACAAAAATCCAACTGAAGAGCGTGTCCCACTGAATGAGGAAGGCCAAATCCACTTGGGAGCAACTTGTGATGGAGGCCATGAAGTTCTTAACCCCATTCTATCCCAATCCCCAGGATTATTCAGTCGGAACTGGAGAACTCCTAGATGAGATACCAGGTCAGGTAGAAGAATCCCACCCAGATCTTTCCAGCTGCTATGCAAAGAGCCCAGGAGCACCAAGTTGAGAGAGAATAATCTCCCAAGTTCATCCAACCAGGTCTCTGTAATACAGCATGGCTAACCTCCTCATCCAGGTTCAGGTCGTAGATTGCTGCTCTTTCTCCCTAAGCTTACCTAGCATTCAAAAGTAGCCCCTTCAGCTTGGAGGTTTGTCACAAGGCAACTCATTTCCCATTGGCTGAGATCCAGCCTTGGAAGGAGGGCCAATCTTGCCAAGTAAGCAGATGTATCAAGTATCCCTCTCTTTCCCCTTTTGTGTGGCATCGGGAAAAGAAAGAGGGAACACCTTACTCCTCAGGGTAGGCTGCTAGTTCCTGATGTTGTTCCTAAAACAGCTGTTCTGCAATGTTGCTGTTTGCTTCCGACAGCAGTTCATGCAGTTGCTCCGAGGACTCGGCTCCCCATGCAGCTGACTAGGAAACAAAATGGCAGATGACTCTGCTGAGTTTTGCTGGAGATGAGGTCATCTTTATTCACGAGATATGATTACTCATCCACACTCTTAAGCTCTCCTAGAATAGGCTAATAGGAGGCTGGGGATGGTCCAAGGGAAGCTGCTTCTATCTCATGCTAAAGGAAAGGGGCAGGTTCACACCCCCCAATCGCTGCAATATCCTTTGCTATTTTTTTTAACCAATGGAATGAATAAATCCGCTGAGAGCCAAGGCAGCTAACAAGCCAGCCAGTATTACTACCCCTTGTCTGACAAAATAATGGACTTTCTAGCAGTCCTGTAGGCTAATGCATCATGGCAGCCTTTCCTTCCACAGCGGTCCTGCCGGCTTAGGGAAATTGGTTTCTTGATGGATGCATGTGACAAAGTTTCTTGATGTTTCTTACAGCACACTTCTTACAGTGGTTTAGCAAGTACCAGCCACCGACTGTCTCTTTCTAGGCCTTCGAGAAACTCAGACGTTGGGGTGCCTGTTTTCTGTGTTTTGCATACCAAAGAAAACACGTATCAACAGAAAGTTCTATTTTTCAATTTGACATCAAATCCCAGGGTTTTTACCAAGGTTCTAGTACCTCTAGTGGCTTGTTTTTGGATGCAAGGAGGAGCAATCTTTTAATCTAAACAATGTACTAATCAGAATGAGAAGGATGTCCGGTGTGACAACATTTGATGGGATTACAGTTTTGTTCTAAATGTGGAGATGTCCTTGCTTTTATGACAGTGAAAGTAGTTCTGGGCATGTGACAGACATTAATGTTTCAGTTCTTTCTCAAGAGAGATAAACTAGCAATTACACATGCTCAAAGCAAGCTGAGGGCGAACTGGGCCCTAGCATTGGCCCAGTTGCTAGGAATGCTGATAGCTTCCAGGATATGATGACCGGAATAAGATTCCATGTCCAGTCAATCTATCTTTGTCCTTTCATCCGCAAGAACTTCCTGCAGCATCGCCTCACAGATGTCCTTTGATGAGCAGATGAGAGGCTTCTGGATGTTTCTGGGGAGGCTGCGGTCATGTGTAACACAATTGAGAACTTCTCAGAATCCTGCTCGGGACAAACATAACTCTCTTCTAGATGAACAGTCCTCTCCCTGGACAAAACAGGATATAGGGAACACATGAGATTCGCATAAACACCAGTAGACTGGAGCTTCAATCCATATGGGTAGCACTTCTAGCCTTCCAGCACAAGATCAAGAGATCACATCTGCACACCTTGACCCAGACATATGCACAGAGGAAAACAAGCACAAGAGGCCAGGAGTAACTCTGAAGTAGCTGCAGAAATCTACAGCGGAGTCTGGAGAAATTTGACCATGGAACAACTATGGTCTGGACTCTTCACAAAGCGGGGCTTTCTAAAACAGCAATGAGGAGAAAGCCACTGCTGAAGCAAGGCCACCTCAGCTGTTTAGCAGTGTGCAGTAAGCCATTTGGGAGACACAGCAAACATGGGAAAAGGTTCCCTGGCCCAGTGAAACCAAACATGAACTTTTTGGTCCTGTTGCAAGAATGTCATTTGTGGCCCAAAACCAACTAGTGCTCATAACCCTGAGAACACCCTACCGATGGGAAAACATCATGATGTTGATGGTGGTGGCAACATCATGTCGTGAGGATGCTTTTGCTCTGTAGGAACTGGGAAACTGGTCAGGACTGAAGGCAAGATGGACAGACCCAATCCAAGGAAATTCTAGAACAAACCAGTTTTCAGTCTGCAAGCTGAGGCAAAGTTCAGCTTCGCACAGGTCAGTGGCCCTGAACACACAGCCAAAATAACACTGGAGTGGTTGAAAAGTAAGAACTTGAATGTTTTACAATGGCCCAGTCAATGCCCAGACCTTAATACAACTGAGCATCTGTGGCAAGGATTGAAATTTGCCATTCATCACGGTCTGCATCCGACCTGAGAGAGCTGGAGCCATTTTGCCCAGAAGAATGGGCAAATCTTGCAGGATCCAGAAGCACAAAGCTAATAGAGACTTACTATGAAGACTTGCAGCTGTATTTGCTACCAGTGGTGCTTCTACCAAGTATTGGCTCAAGGAGTGAGTACTTACACAGCCAACACAGGCTAATTTGTTTTTGTTTACTTAATTTCTGTGTCACAATAAAAATATTTTGCATCTACACCATGTCGAGTAGCTTATGTGCATTAAGTGGTTACAGTGCCAATTAAACCCATTCCAGTTCCAGGTTGTAACATAACAAAATGTGGAAAAGTCAGAAGAGGGGAAGGTGAAGAGTGTTGCAAGACTGTAGATAAGACTCAATGGGATCCAGATGCTTGTTTGTGCTCTGTAAACCATCTCCTTTGGGACAGAGTGTTTCCATGCCTAGTTCAGGGACACCGCTGTGGTAGCACTACACAATTAACCTTCTCTTTCACATTTGGGCTAGGGATGGTTGAGGGAGTATTAACAGACTCGGGAACGCCCATAAGCCACCCACTGGCCTCCTCAAGAAGAAAGGAACGTTCAGTCTTCTTACACATTCCTGTCTGTGAGCCAAGCCAGTGGACAACCTGAGTGTCCTGGCTCAAGGTGAGCTCCTGGGTGCACATGAAGGAAATAGAGGTCTTGGAGGCCTCCGCTTTTACAAGTTGTATAATTGCGCACGTTGTGAAATTGCTGTGCTGGTTTTAAGTAGTTCAGGGTTTGAGGA